CGCGCCTCGTGGCCAGGCCCACAGCACCCGCACAGCGGAGCTTGAAATGTCTCCCCATCTCCTCTCCCTCCAGCCTTGTCGCCTCAGGGGTGAGGTTGTGCAGCTCGGCGTCCACCAGGAGCTGCTGCAGCGCATGCGCGACCGCCTCCCTCGGAACGTTCGAGCGCGCCACGATGGACAGGATGGTGGGGTCGATGGGCCTGGACCAGCCCGTCTCCAGCATCGGGGCCTGCGGGGTGGCCGACGCCACGACTCCCATCTCTGTGCGGAGGTCGGCCATCTCTTGCCGAAGGCGGCCGAAGTCTGCCATCCGCTGCTCCATGCATCCCAGGCGCGAGTCCACAGCAGCGAAGCGGGCGTCGATGGCCTGGGCGAACTCCTGCTGGGTGGACTGGAAGATCTGCGAGAGGTGGAGGAGGAGGACGAGGAGGAGGACGAGGAGGAGGACGCCCTCCCCTTCTCACTTGTGGTGGTGGTGGAAAACAGGCCCATCAGACCAACCTCGAGCTCCATCCCTGTCCCTGCGAACGACGAGCCGGAGGCGATGGCCGTGTGGGCGATTTCGGAAACCCTGAGCCCAAAAAGGTTTGCATCTCCTGGGGACACATGTTTCACTTCCGCCGCCTTCCGCCGAGCTTCCTTTTCGAACACTACGCCCGCAAGTCTCAGCAACAGGGCGTCTCGCGGTGGGCCCCGCTAAAAAGTCGACCGAAACCGGCGCGACGGAAGCACGTAAGATCCCGTCGGGGGGCCAAGAGGAAGCACGCGCGGGGACTGCCGGGGACGGAAGAGGCGGACCAGCCCCATCTCCATCTCCAACGTGCCACCCCTACGTGCTCCCACCTCTGTGAGAGCAGCACTGCAGGGACAGCCCCCCGCCCTCCCCCCTAGGAGAGTGGGAGGGGCTACCTGCGCATAAAAAGTTAAGACCTGCGGCAATAACCTAACTCGAACTCGTGCCCTCGCCTCGAATCGTCGGTCCGTGCGTGGAGCGACTCTGAGCAGGGCGAGCGAGCTGAAAGAAGTGAGAGAGTGGGAGCTGGGAGGACCCCCTAGGAAAGGGCGATGCCGTTACGACGCTGGCCGGGCTGCAGGAAGGAGGAGAGCCTGCCGTTACGACACTGGCCGGGCCTGCCGTTACGACGCTGGCCGGGCTGGAAAAGAGAGCGCCTGCCGTTGCGACGCTGGCTGGGCCTACTGCTTCTTGGCTTTCTTCTTGCCCTTGTGCTGCGCCGTGCCCTTTTTGAATGCGATTTTCTCGATTGCCTTCGCCGTCCTGCAGCGGGGGGCGCGGTCGAAGCCCAAGTTGACGTGGCAGGCTTGCAAGCACCCGTTCAGGCGCAGCGTCATCAGCGCTGCCTTGAGATCCACGTGGCGGTTCACGGCGAACACCCAGCGCACGCTCGGCTTGTCCTCCTCGTCCGCGTCGCCCTGGTTCGTCAAGTCGACGCTGAAGCAGCGGGTCGCGGTGAAGCGGAAGCCCGGGTCCTGGACCAGCGTCGCGTACTTCGAGAGAGTGTCGAGGGCCTGGAGGGTCTCCTCCGCCATCGTGCCCTGCTTCGCCGCGTCGGTCACCTTCGCGCCGGCTGCCTTCGCGGCCTCGTGGAGGCGAAAGATGAGCTGCTTGGCGTACACGTCGGGGCGCTTGCCCAGCGGGTTCCCCTTGAACTCGCCGTCGCCCGCGTCCTCCTGAGCCTTCTTGTTCGCGGCCTGGTAGCGGTCCACGCCGGCTGCGAGAGCGCGCTGCAGCGGGCTGTCCTGCAGCAGTGTGACCGTGAAGTTGTCGCCCCTCGCGCCCCCGCGATTCTTGTCCTCGTGTTGCAAGAGCAACTTGGCCATGAGGAGCGTGAGGCGACGTGTCTCCGCGCCCCCGCCCTGACTGTCGGCGGCCGCCTCCTCGCCCCCCTTGGCCCTTCCCTCCTCTGCGGGACGCTTGGCACCTTTGGTCATCTCCTCGATCGGCGCGAACATCGACATCGCCGTAACGCTCCGCAGGCGGAGGCAGGCCTGGAGGCGGAGGGGGAGGCAAGCCCTGAACCCCAAAGGCTGGTGCTGCATCAGGGCGAAGCGCACGACGCCGCCCAAGTCGAACGTGTTTCACGAGACTATCCTTGCGGGTGAACTCCTTTTGGCACCTGGGACATTGCTTTGCTAGAACCGTTTCCAAGGAAAACTCGGTAGGGTTCGCTACGACGTGGCGCACGCGAAAGCGGTGATTATCATGACCTTTGGGACCTTTGCAAAGACGACCGCATTCAGGACAAGGGAGGAGCTCTACATCAGGGGCGTCACCTCGGGCTTGTTGTAGCTCAAACTCAGTGCTAAATGACCGGACTTTTCGGATGAGGTGCACAGGGACCTTCAGGAGCCACTTGAAACCTTCAGCGTCCACGCGGGGTCCAGTAGCAGGGAGGTGGTAGTCCTGGATGGCCTGGGCACGGTGGGCCCCTCCAAGGACCTGCCAAAGCTTGTCAATATCCTGGGCTAGAAGATGGAGTAGTGAGGTGCATTCGCGACGTCCTTCGGGCTCAAACGAAAAACGACCAAACACGGCGGCACGGACAGCTCGAGTAGGGTCGTAATCGTCGACGTCTCCATCGGCAGCGACTCGAAATGCAGGGCGAAGGACATGTTGCCACCATCGGAGGCGACGCTCCAGCAGAGTAGAAACAACCGTGGGCATCTTAGCCTGTTGGCGAATCTCGCTATTTGACATTTTGTACACATGCGAAGGCGACTTCAAAAGTGAACGCAAACACCGGTTTTGCCATCTTTCCAGCTTTTCAAATCGCCAGCAGACAAAGGTGCAACCTCGAGAGCATACAACGCAGTTGATCGCACCAAGGAGGTCCACAGACGTATCCGGAGATGTCGGCTGAAATGTCCCTTGAACGCTCGGGTTTGGAGGCGTGCATATGCCGCCGTGGCTGCCTGCACTCGGTGGCGTACCTCTTCTGAGTAACTACCGTCAGCACGAAGACGAACACCCAAGTACCGAACATATGCGGAAGCATGTATGTGCACAGGCCACGAAGAAGACGACATGGTCACTCCGGTGGACTTAGCCTTGATGCTTTTCTGCCGCTGCTTACTGTCCTTCCCAGAGAAAACCAGCAAAAGCTCCGTTTTGTCCCCGTTGACCTTCATGTTACCTGCCGAAATTTCGTTTCGAAGAAAATCCAGAAACCCACTTACCTTGCTGAAGTCCGGCACGATCGTGAAAGCTAACAAATCGTCGACGAACTTAACATGTGTGAGATCAATGTGATCATAATCGCCAGGAGACAATACATCGATATGCCGCAGCTTCCGGAGGGAAGGGTCGAAGACGACATCGACGCAAGCGAACTCAGATTCCCGTCGGTGTTGCGCTAACCCCCCTGTAAGCATGTCGTATACGGCGATGAAGAGCGCGGGGCCCTCGACGGACCCCTGACGGACACCGCGAGGGACTAGAAGCTTGCGTGCAGGCCGGTTAGTTCTGACGTCCCTGGCTATGTAGCACGTGCCGTCGTGTAGCTCCTCTACTGTCAACAAAACATCCTGGGAAAGGGCAAGACGGCGCAACGCTGCCCAGATGTCGGCCCGGTCGACTAGATCAAAGGCTTTCTCGAGATCAATCAAAGCAGCCACCAATATACCTGGCGTCTCCCGGCCCGCAGATCTGGAACGTAAATGGCAAATACGATATCGTCGAAGGACTTCCCCCACCAGTGCAACGGCGTCCCGTGTAGCCCGTCCCTGTAGTGCTCCAAACTGGGTGGCCGAGATTTTGGGTGCTAGGGCACGTAGGGCGGGCATGGCAGTGACGTTCATATAGACTTTCCCCATGTGCCCAATCAGGTTAATGGTGCGATAATGGTCGCGCGCATTACGACCGTCACCCTTTGGCTTGCGAAGGCTGACCGTTTCCCCATCCTTGAAACGTTGTGCGGAACGACCGTAGGCCTGACAGGCATGAAAGACACCATGAAGAGGCTTTAGAACTACAGGGCGACATAGTTTCCAGACTTCAGCAACAGCTCCTTCAGGGGGGTCGTCGGGCGGCTGGAATGGCGACCACTTCAAGACTGGGGCGGACTTGTAATTCGGCATGCGATCGATGGCCTTGCCGATGTCCTCGGCAGTATAGTTTCCGATTCTATGCGCGCCTGGAGCGGGAACGGTTTGGGGGTCCACCGGGGCATTCAAAGGAAGAACCGTAGCTCCAAAGATATCCCCAAGAGCCCTCGCACGAACCTCCATCTCCTCCTGGTCATCGAAGCACTCAAAACCACTTTCTGGATTATGCACGGTTACCATGGGTGCTGCAGCCTTGGGTGCCAGACGACGGACAATGGCATGGGTACGACGGAGGTTGCCGACAGCATCCGCGGCTTCCGCTTCCGCCGCAATCGCCGCCGTGCGCTGGCGGTGCTCTGTCCGAACAGCTCGGGCCGCCGCCCGTGCTGCAACCTTGAACTGGGCAAGAACATTTGTGTAAAGCCAGGGGGCCGAAGAATCCACATTAGCAAGCTGTCGTTGGAGAAAGTGCTTGTTCTGAATCAGCTGGAGTGTCGGATCGCTCAGGGCCGGCTTCTGGACAGTTGCAGGCGCAGTGGTGTACAGCGGGGCCGCTGCCTCAATAACTGCGCCTTCCACCGCATTGAAATACGAGGAAGCGTCGGGAAAACGACATTGGGGTCCGCATTCCGATTCCCAGTCGCCGTGAAGACCCCTATCCGCGAGTTCGTCAGAAACTTTAGCACGGAGTTCAGCAATCCTAGGGGGAAGTGGTCCATCTGGGGGTAGCGAACGAAGCATGGAAAGGTCCTTGACCAGCTCATCCCTGTTCCAGCGGATGTACTTCGGGGGAGGGGACTTTTTCACTCGAGGGCCCGTGTAGATGTATGCTTCTACTGGACGATGGTCACGATAACCTCCGAGATTAACAGGAAGAGTACGTAGAGGATACGCCTTAAACCCGTATGACCCTTGTAAGCGTGTGCATATATAGTCTATGGTACTCCACCCACTCCCCACCGTATGCTTCCATGTGCCGTTAAAGCGAGACCGACAACCGAAAGTATTCAACGCTTTCAACCCGTACATCTCCAAAAAATCGATGAACTTATGGCCGTTGCGATTCGTCGGAGGACCCCCGCGCTTGCTACCCGCCTCCCCGATATGAGGAAGATGAGGGCGAACAGTGGCGTTGGCATCGAGAGTGATGATGAGGGCCGTGCGCTGCGGAATCTGCTGGATCGCCCGCTCGCACTGGTTCCAAAAGGTGTCCTGGGCCTGGGTGTGAGCCTGGTAAACTGGGGCAGTATCTTGGCCTTGGGGTACCTTTGGCGGGTCGTTCGTCGGGGCGTACCCGTTTAGAATGTACAGGTCCCGGTCCCGGCAGCCTCCCCGCCGAAGCCGAATCCCGTGAAGGCGTCCTGGAAGCCAGACGTGCGTGCACCTAAGTTCCTGCTTAGAGAACACCTTCATATTGTATGCAATGAGACATCCATCTTTGGCTCGCGGCGCTGTTCGGCAAGTCGGGATAACATGGAAACCCTCGCTGAACCAAGGAACGTCAAGCTCCATCAACGTGCTCTGGAAACAACATATGGCGACATTTGCACATCTGGCCAGTCTCAACAGCGATGCCAGCCGATCTTTGACCCGGAGCGACTCAGCGTTATAGCTCCAAACCTTCATCAATCGTGTCGATCTCTGCCGACGGCGACGCGTACGAACATGATGTGCCGCCACCTCCACGGAGGAATAAGTGGGAGAACTCTCAGGAAGATTAGGTTCTTGCATGATGGTCTGGACCCTGTCGGCGCTAGCGAGGGAGCCCACGGTGGAGCGGTCATAGTATTTACCAAGGTACCAGCACCACCCGACTATCAGCGTCCTACGCACGGCTCGCCTCAAGGCCCGTTTGCCACCCCTACGCCCTGTCTCCGTCACCATGAGCAGCCAAACGAGCCACTGGGTGACGTTCACCTAGCTTGGGCCGGCTAGGAGCGCTCGCCTCGCCAACGCACAAAAACGTAAAATGCCATGGCGCGTCGGGTTGGGCTGGGAGTTGCGACCCAGCACGCAAAAGGCAGCACGCTGTGTCCTTGGGCCGTCGAGGCTTCCGCCGAGCTTCCGCCGGCTTCCGCCGGCGGAGGCGGCCTCGTTTTACTTCCGCCGTCCTTCCGCCGCCCTTCCGCCGCCTTCCACGGCGGAAGAGATGACAACTGCTTCGCTCCTCGAGGGCAAGGCCATTTTTGGAACGCCTCATGTGAGGGATGTGCCCTCAGAGACTGGGGGAAACCTTTCGATCGGCACCGAGGTCGGATGATACCAAGCACACAGGAATAGGGTTTGGGCCGTGCATGTCCCCCTACAGATGAATGTTGAGGGAAAAAACTCAAACAATGATCAACATCCTCCTGTAGAGGAACGTGCCCGACTTACAGCTGGTAGGGTCCTCAGCTCGTCCAGGGGGGCCATGCAGGGCGCCCCCGAGGGAAAGCGGCCCCGGCCCCGATCCCGAGCGGGTGAGACGTCGAGCTCGTCCTCGCTGAGGAACCTGCCGACCGGGGGCGTCAGGTCCGCGCGGTCTGCGCAGGGGGGCACGACCTTAGTGGACCCTGGAAACGACAGGGCCGTTGTTTTAGCGGTTCCGTTTTGTCGTTCGTTTGTTAATTTCGACGCCGTGTTTTGTCACAGTTCCGTCGCTGTTTTGTCTCCGGTTCCGAATCCAATTCCAAACCTGGAGCCGTGTTTCGCTGTTTCTTGTCGCTGTGTTTTTTTGTTCCATCTGTGTTTTACTGTTATCTCTATGTTGAAAACATTTTCCGGAAACGTTCAAAAAACGACCCTGCCGTTTTCGGGGCCCACTAAGGGCACGACGTCGATGCTGTTCCAGCGCCGGAAGGACTCGAGGAAGGAGCTCTGACAGCCCTCCTCGTCCTCCTCCTCTTGATGGGCAGCGATCGGGTGGGATAGGCACAAGTGGGGATGCATCGGCCTCGAATGGCCGATGCATCGCCCATGTATCGTCGATGCAGTCCACCCCCTGTATCGTCTATACCTCGTCGGTAGATGGCCCTGACGTCAAAAATGCACGGTGGATGCATCGTCGATGCATTAATCATTCGAAGTCGGCGCATCCCCTCTATACCTGTTTCTCCCCCATGGATGCCACCGAATCCTGGTCCTGCAGACGCTCTGCTCGCTGGATGGTGCTGCTGGCCATGGGGACGCTCTTGGCTGCGAAGCTGGGCGTGACGCCCCTCGCCTGCCCGCGCCAGAATCGCCGCTTGAGGCGCCTGCGAGGCGCAAATCGGCCGGCCGAGGTGAAGTCCCAGGCACGGGATATGTTCCTGATCCCCTCCCGGCCCGCTGGAGACGCACTGCCAGTGGAGGAGCCCAAGTCCATCATCGCGCGGAGAAACTCCTCGTACCGGATCACCCCGTCCCGCAGCTCGTCCGCCTGATCGAGGATCTCCTCCACGGCGACGCCCTGGAACTCATTTCCGAGAGCAGCGCGGAGGTTCTCGAGCGAGATGTAGCCGGTCTGGTCCGCGTCGAAGCGCTGGAAGGCTCGACGGATCTGTGGCTCCTGCGCGAGGATCCGGCGCTGCGTGACCGCCGCCAGGAAGTCGCTGTAGTGCAAGCACTGCTCCTGGCCGGGGTTCAGGTTGCTCGACAGCTCGGTCGCTTCCGCTACTGACATGCCCAACCTGTCCCTCAGAACCTCGACGAGGTCCTGAACCAAGATCGTGCCGTTCTGGCGCGTGTCCAGCCTCTTGAACTGCGCCTGGAGCTCGTCTGTCTCCGCCACGGACATGGAGTTCGCCATCAGGCTGCAGGCAGCACGCTTGATGGTGTTCATCGACGCGAAGCTGCGGAGGCTCTCGAGGACCTCCAGGTTGATCTCCCGGGCGCCGCTGTGCTGGCAGGTCGCACGGCCCGCGAGCCACGGGTGCAGCGCAGCGTCCTGGGCGCTGGGCCTCTCCACCGGATCGCGGGTCAGCAGCTCCGACACAAAGGCCTTCGCACTGTCCGAGATGCCGTTCCACCGAGGGCCCTCCATGTCCGCGTCGGATCCGTCGAGTATCTTGAGCACGATGTCGTCGTCGGAGTCCGCGAAGCCGCCGAACGGTGGCAACCCGCAGAGAAGCATGTAGGCAATCCGCCAGGATCCCTGCGGAGCCACCAGCCTGCAGAGTCGCAGTAGATGTACGGTCGGGAACGGAGGGGCCCAAATAAAGATACACCAATCCCAGGCAGTCGACGATTCACTGTGTCTTTGTGTGCGTGCTTTCCCTCCCGAGGCAACTTTTGCGCAGCGCATCGCCGCAGCGGCCCCGGCGACACGCCGTGCCCTAAAACGTGGGCAGCATGTCACTCCGCAACGCGGAGCGCTGGGTCCGGGGCCAGGAAGAACGCGGGGCGCTGGTGTCCGGAAGTGGTCAGCGCGCTGCCGAGGCGCGGTGGGCCAGAACTGGCGGCGCGGCGCGCAATGCAAAAGTTCCTGGACGCGTGTACCCCCGACTACCCAAGGCAAAACATTACCCCCAGTGAAGCCGATGGGGACCACACCCCAGAATATGCCTGATCTGAGGCTGGCCGCCTCATCCCTCCTCCTCCTCCTCCTCCTCGTCCTCCTCCTCCTCCTCCTCCTCCTCATCCTCCTCCTCCTCTTCCTCCTCCTCCTCCTCCTCCCTCCTCATCCTCCCTCCTCTCCTTCACCAGTCGCCCCCCCCCCCCAGGCCTCTCCCGCGCCACGTTTCGGCCAGGACCGCGACAGAAATCTACCCGTGGCGACGAGAAGCCACAAGGGGAGACTCGGGAAAAGCGAGGGACCGCTCCCATCCGGGATCCCCCTCCCCCGATGTTGCAGTTGTTTCGCGACGTGGGCCCCTAGGTCTCGACCATTTCCCTCGGGCTGGCATCTCATTCTGAACAACTTTCTGACGTCAGCAGGGCCTGCAAGGCTGGAAAACCACAGCACAAAACCAGCCGTCGCGACGTGTTGTGGCGACGCCTGGACCTGAGAAAGCATCGAGCCTCGATACTCCTCCGCCTCAGCCCTTCTCCTCGATCCACCTCCGGGTTCCGCCTCCCTCTCCTCCGAGCCCTCCTCCGCCTCCCTCCTCCTCCTCTTCCTCCTCCTCCTCCGCCTCTTCCTCCTCCTCCTCCTCCTCCTCCTCCTCCTCCTCCTCCTCTCTCCTCCTCCCCATCATTTCATCATCAGCCCCCTCCCACTCTCCTCCTCCTCCTCCTCCTCCTCCTCCTCCTCCTCCTCCTCCTCCTCCTCCTCCTCCCCACCTCCTTTCTGTTCGCTTCCCTCCCACCCCCCTCCCTATCCCCTCCCCGCTCTCCATCCGTCTCCCCCTTCCCCGTCCCCCGCTATCTCGTGCATATGATTCGTAAGCTCCCCATTTGGTTCCTCCTTCTTCTTCTTCTGCTTCTCAGTCTCCTCCTCCTCTTCCTCCTCCTTCACCTCCTCCTCTTCCTCTCCTCCTCCAGGAAAGCCAGCGGCACCACGGGCGGGAGACGCTCGAATGACCCCCAGGCTCCAGACGTCGCACTTGGAGTCGTAGTACTGCTCGAGCACCTTGCGCGCTGCCGCCGCCGCGGCCAGGCGGCCTCATGCATTGTCGCGGTCGTCGACGATGTCGCCATCAGCGACAACGCGAGGCACACCGAGTGGGCCCCAAAGAGGGCGCGCAAGAAGGGCCCTGACGGTGAACACATTCAGCCCTTTTCATTCCTGTTCGGTCTTCAGACCGCTCAGAGCGGCCCAATCAGCCACGTCGCGGTCGTCGACGATGTCGCCATCAGCGACGACGCGAGGCACACCGAGTGGGCCCCAAAGAGGGCGCGCAAGAAAGGCCCTGACGGTGAACACATTCAGCCCTTTTCATTCCTGTGCGGTCTTCAGCCCGCCCAGAGCGGCCCAAGCAGCCTCCAAATTCCCCCCCCCCCTCCAGCGCTTCCTCCTCCTCCTGCTCCTCCTCTATCCTTACCCCTCCTCCTCTTCCTCCTCTTCCTCCTCCTCCTCCACCTCTGCGTATGTCTTCCGCGCGCCAACGGACAACGAGTCCCGCCAAACAAAACTTACAGACCTAGGGCAAGTTCAATAGTTACAGGTCTTCCTCGGTGCGAAGAGTCATATGCTTGGGCGTCAAGATCGCGCCCGAGGCACATGTGCTGACGTCACGCGCAAAAAAAACGGGCAACCTTGATGGGGTGTGTGGGGAGCGGGGGGGGCCGGGGGCGGTACCGCAACGCCATGGCAGCGACGACGACGAGGAGGAGCTATGAAGAAAGGTTCGACAGAGGGGGGGGCGCAGGGCCATGACGAAGACGATCGACGACGACGATGAGCAAAAGTTGGGCAGGGGGGAGAACGCAGCGCCGTGGCGACAACGACGACAACGACGACGACGAGGACGAGGACGACGACGACGACGATCGACGACCCGAGACGCCGAAAATCCTTCGGGGACACATGTTTCGCCGGCGGGAGCGCTGCCCAATCCCCGAGAGGAAAGGAGGCCCGTCTGTTTCTGGAACCTCTGCTACTTCACAGTAAGAGAACTCCCGAGGCAAGCCAGGCATATGGATCCTGGAGCAACACCCTGGCAGCTAAGTGCCGACATCCTCCTCCTGTCCTCTTCCTCCTCCTGCTCCTCCTCCTTCTCCTCCTCCTCCTCCTCCTCCCCCTCCTCCCCTGGCCTTCCTCCTCCTTCTCCTCCTCCTCCTCCCTCCTCCTCCTCCTCCTCCTCCTCCTCCTCCTCCGCCCCCCATTCTCCTCCTCCTCCTCCTCCTCCTCCTCCTCCTCCTCCTCCTGATCCCCCTCCTATTCCTCCTCCTCCTCCTCCTCCTCCTCCTCCTTCTCCTCCCCCTCCTCTCCCTCCCCCCTATGCCAGGACGGCTCCCTCGAGCTCAGCAGCCAGAAATCGGCCGCAGGCGGCGCAAGCAACTTGCCCATCCTCCTCCTCCTCCTCCTCCTCCTCCTCCTCCTCCTCCTCCTCCTGTCCTCCTCATCCTCCTCCTCCTCCTCGGTCCTTCTGTCCTCCTCCTCCTCGTCCTCCTCCTCTTTTTCCTCCTCCTCCTCACTCTCCTCCCTCCTCGTCCTCCCTGCTCCTCCTCCTCCTCTCTACTGCTCCTCCTCCTCCTCCTCCTCCTCCTCCTCCTCCTCCTCCTCTCCGCCTCCTGATCGTCCTCCGATTCCTCCTCCTCCTCCTCCTCCTCCTCCTCCTCCTCCTCCTCCTCTTCTCCTCCTCCCAATGCAGGACGGCTCCCTCGCGCTCGGCAGCCAGAATCGGCTGCGGCGCGCAAGCAACTTCCCCTTCCTACTCCTCCTCCTCCAACTCCTTCTTCTCCTCGTGCTCCTCTCCTCCTCCCTCCTCCTCCTCCTCCTCCGCCTCCTCCTCCCTCCTCCTCCTCCTCGTCTCTCCTCCTCCTCCTCCTCCTCCTCCCTCCTGTCCTTCTCCTGTCCTGCTCCTCCTCCTCCTCCTCCTCTCCTCCTCCTCCTCGTCCCCCTCCTCGTCCTCCTCCTCGTCCTCCTCCCTCCTCCTCCTCCTCCTCCTCCTCCCCCTTCTCCTGCTCCTCCTCCTTCTCCTCCTTCTCGTCCTCCTCCTCCTCCTCCTCCTCCTCCCCCTCTCCTTCGTCGTCCCTCCCTCGTCCTCCCTCCTCGTCCTCCTCCTCCTCCTCCTCCTGTCCTTCTCCTGTCCTCCTCCTCCTCCTCCTCTCCTCCTCCTCCTCCCCCCTTCTCGTCCTCTCCTCCTCCTCTCCTCCTCCTCCTCCCTCCTCCTCCTCCCTCTCCTCCTCCTTTTCCTGCCTCTCCTCCTCTCCTCCTCCTCCTTTTCCTCTTTTTTCCTCTTCTCCTCCTCCTCCTCCTCCTCCTCCTCCTCCTCCTCCCTGCAGACCCGATTGCGCATTTCGGTTCCCCCTGCTCTCCATATGCTCCCCCCCTCCTCCTCCTCCTGCTCCTCCTCCTCCTCCTCGTCCCCGCGCGTTCCGAGCACCTCGGGCGCCATCCTCCTCCTCCTCCTCCTCCTCCTCCTCCCCCTGCAGACCCGATTGCGCATTTCGGTTCCCCCTGCTCTCCATATGCTCCCCCCCTCCTCCTCCTCCTGCTCCTCCTCCTCCTCCTCGTCCCCGCGCGTTCCGAGCACCTCGGGCGCCACGTAGAATATTGTGCCCAGCACGGCCGTCATCGGGGCGTCGTGGCTGAACACCTCCGAGAAGCCGAAGTCTATCAGCTTTAGCCGCGCGTTCGCCGAAGAATCCGCGTACACCCAGTTCTCCAACTTCAGATCTCGGTGCACGATCTGGGGCGTTCAAACACAGTGGAAACTCTCTCTCTCTCTCTCTCTCTCTCTATGTAAATATGTGTGTATGTAACTATACACATACATGCATCAGAGTGAGGGGGCCGAGCGGTCAGTCATTGTCCGTGGGTGCGTGGCTGAATAAGGAGCTCGTGGTGAGAATTCGGTTTGTGGCGTCGTTGTTGTTGTTGGTGTTGTTGTTGCTGCTGGGCCCTCATGTCTGAAGAATAATTATGGTTGGACCCCATCACCGGTGTATATTGTTTTTTCTTGATCAAAGTGTGCGCTCGACGCTCGCACCCTTTTTTTGACAAGGAAAGTCATGGTGCCCAAACTGGGCCCCTGGCCCCCTGATTACAGAAACAATGGCTCCCGCCTAAAACTTCCTCCAAATTTACTCAGGACCCCCGCTCCTGAGTATTCCTCATAATTTAATCAGGGTCGGCGCTCCAGCCTGTGACCGCCTCGCAATTTAGTCAGGACCCCAGCTCCCATCTGAGACTTCCTCGCAATTTACGCAGGAACGGCGCTCCCGTGTGTGACTTCCTCGCAATTGAACCAAGACTTCCTCGCAATTGAACCAAGACCCCCGCTCACGCCAGAGAGCCCTTCACATTTTATTATGTGACATCCATATCATTTATTCAGAAGTCGCGCTTTCGACGCTCAGGAAACACGCTGCGTTATGGACGCCGTTACAATTTACTTAGTAATTGCGCTCTCGCCATACTCAGGCATCCCGCTTGAATCTCCCACCCGTCCCACCCGCCCGTCAGGGGATCGCCCGCCCGTCGCGGGCCCCCGCTCGGGACTTTCTTCAGGAACGGCGCTTTCGCTTAGGACTTCCTCGAACGTTCACGTGTTTACCCTCCTGCTCCTCCTCCCTTTCCCTCCTCCTTCCTCCCTCCTCTCCTCCCTTCTTTCTGCCTCCTCTCTTCCCTCATCCTTATGCCTCTCTGCCCTCTCCCCTCTCCCTCCTCTCCCTGGTCCCTTTCTCCCTCCCCTCTCCTGCCTCCTCCCTCCCTCTTTCTTTCTTTCTCTCCCCTTTCTCTCTCTCTCTCTCTCTCACACCCTCTCTTTCTTTACCTCTATTATATGTTTTTGTTCGCTCTCTCTCTCTCTCTCTCTTTCTCTCTGTCTCTCTGCCTCTAATCAACCGCCCCCCTCTTCGCTCCTTCTCTCCTGGCGTTTTCCTTTTTCCGTCGTCCCTCCCCGTCCCTTCCTCCCACTCTCCCTCGTTTTCCCCCTCCTCTTTTTGCAGGGCCCACACCAATTCCAATGGCGGGCACATGTAGGCCCACGAAGAATTGTCCGCCCGTTCAGGCCTGCCCGCCTGTCTAAGCCCGCCGCCCCCCGCAAAGAGAAAGAATCACCCCAAAGGTGGTGCGATCGAGAACAGAAGGGGCGGGTATCGAGGGCGTGGGGAACTCGTTTTGAATAACACGCAGACACGTAAGAGCGAACAGTCTTAGAGTTGCTGAGCTCTCACTTCTGAAAAAAAAAATGCTAATCCCCCCCGTCCGGTGCACACTGTTTTCTCGATTGAAGTGCCCTTCCTGGGGCTCGCATTTATCAGGGAAAGTCTTGAGGGTCAAACTGTATCGTTGGCCCCCGGTTTACAACAACAGCGGCTCCCGCCTAAGACTTCCTCACAATTTAGCCAGGCCCCCCGCTCCCGCCCGAGACTTCCTCGCATTTTATTCAGGATTCGCGCTCTCGCTTGGGTGTTCCTCAGAATATATTCTCCCCGCGCTCTGGAGTCGCGCTCTCGCTGGAGACTTGCTTGCGATCTACTGAAGAATAGCGCCATTGCGATGGAATTTCGGGCAATTTACTCAAGCGCCGCGCTCCCGACACCCAGGCACCCAGGAGTCGCGCTCACGCTTAGGAGCCCCTCGCAGATTATATAAGAAACTGGATATCGCTGCCCTGCGTGGCCCCGTTGCAGCCCTTCGTGGCCCCCTCGCTTTGTTTCGTGGCCCCGTTGCAGCCCTTCGTGCCGCCCTCGCTGCCCTTCGTGGCCCCGTGGCAGCCCCTCGTGGCCTCCTCGTTACCCTTCGTGGCCCCGTTGCAGCCCTTCGTGGCCCCCTCGCTTTGTTTCGTGGCCCCGTTGCAGCCCTTCGTGGCCCCCTGACTTTGTTTCGTGGCCCCGTTGCAGCCCTTCGTGGACCCCGCGCTGCCCTTCGTGGCCCCGTTGCAGCCCTTCGTCGCCCCCTCGCTTTGTTTCGTGGCCCCATATACGTATGTCCTTCGTGGACCCCGTTGGTTCGCGCCCGTTGTGGCCCCATATGCATCTGTCCTACGTGGCCCAGTTGCTACCCTCAGTGGCCCCACAATTGCCTTTTGTGGCCCCGCATTATCTGCCCTTCGTGGCCCCCGCTCGTTCGCGCTCTTCGCGGCCCCATACGCATTCCCTTCGTGTCCCCGCTGTTGTCCTTCGTGGCCTATTTCGTGTCCTTCGTGGCCCTGCTGTCGTTATCTTTCGCTCTCGCTTTCGCTCGTCGTCGTCGTCGCCGTCGTCGTCGTCGTCGTCGTCGTGGTCGGTCCCCTGTCCGTCCCTCTTGGGGTCTGGTCGACGGTCCGCGGCCGCCCCGCCGATCAGCGCTGCCGCTGGCCAGGCCGACGGTCCGCGGCCGCCCCGCCGCTTGCCTGGGCCAGGCCTGCAGGAAAGAAACGTATACCCCCCAAAAGGGGTCCGGTCGAAGACGAAGAGGGCGGGTATCGAGGGTTTGGGAAATGGACGTTATTGGACATTTGAACAGAGAAGGGCGACCAATATTAAAATGATTGTTGTTGAACTCTCATTCTTGAAAAATAATTATGGTTGATCCCCCCTCACCAGTGCACATTGATTTTTTTCAATTGAAATGCCCCCCCCGGGGCTCGCACCTTGTTTTTTGTCAAAGAAAGTCTTCCTGTTCAAACTGGCCCCCTGGCCCCCAGGTTACAACAACAACAACAACGGCTCCCGCCCGAGACTTCCTCGCAATGTATTCAAGAATCGCGTTCTCGCTTGGGACTTCCGGACGATTTATTTGGGAATCGCTCCTCCTGCGCTCTGGAGTCGCGCTCTCGCTGGAGACTTGAATGCAATCTACTGAAGAATAGCGCCCTTGCGTTGGAATTTCTTGTAACTTACTCCAGCGCCGCGCTCCCGACACCCAGGTATCTAGGAGTCGTGCTCACGCTTCGGACTCCTTCACAGATTACCTAGGATTCGGGATATCGCTGCCCTTCGTGGCCCCGTTGCAGCCCTTCGTGGCTTCCTCGCTTTGTTTCGTGGCCCCGTTGCAGCCCTTCGTGGCCCCCTTGTTTTGTTTCGTGGCCCCGTTGCAGCCCTTCGAAGCCCCGTTGCAGCCCGTCGTGGCCCCCTCGCTTTGTTTCGTGGCCCCGTTGCAGCCCTTCGTGGCCCCCTCGCTTTGTTTCGCGGCCCCGTTGCAGCCCTTCGTGGCCCCGTTGCTGCCCTTCGTGGCCCCCGCGCTGCCCTTCGCGGCCCCGTTGGAGCCGTTCGTCGCCCCCTCGCTTTGTTTCGTGGCCCCATATATGTATGCCCTTCGTGGCCCCCGCTCGTTCGCGACCGTGGTGGCCCCATATGCATGCCCTTCGTGGCCCCGCTGTCGCCCTTCGTGGCGCCCTCGCTGCCCTTCGTGTCCCCGTTGCTGCCCTCAGTGGCCCCGTCCTTACCCTCCGCGGCCCAACATACGTATGCCCTTCGTGGCCCCCGCTCGTTCGCGCCCGTTGTGGCCCCATGTGCATGCCCCTCGTGGCCCCGCTGTCGCCGCTTGTGGCCCCCTCATTGTCCTACGTGGCCCAGGTGCTACCCTCAGTGGCCCCACAGTTGCCATCTGTGGCCCCGCATTATCTGCACTTCGTGGCCCCCGCTCGTTCGCGCTCTTCGTGGCCCCATACGCATTCCCTTCGTGTCCCCGCTGTCACCCTTCGTGGCCTACTTCGTGTCCTTCGTGGCCCTGCTGTCGTTCTCTCTCGCTCTCGCTTTCGCTCGTCGTCGTTGTCTCCGTCGCCGTCGTTGCCGTCGTCGTCGACGTCGTCGTCGTCGTCGTCGTGGTCTGTCCCCTGTCCGTCCCTCTTGGGTTCGGGTCGACGGTCCGCGGCCGCCCCGCCGATCAGCGCTGCCGCTGGCCAGGCCGACGGTCCGCAGCCGCCCCGCCGCTTGCCGGGCCCTGGCCTGCAGGGAAGAAAAGTATACTCCCCAAGCGGGGTTCGATCGAAAACGAAAAGGGCGGGTATCGAGGGTTCGGGAAATCCGCGTTATTCGACACCCGAGCAGATAAGGGCGAACAGTCTTAAAATGATTGTTGCTGTTGTTGTTGTTGTTGTTGTTGAATTCTCATTTCTGAAAAAATGTTAATCCCCCCCCCACCGGTGCATACAGTTATTTCTCCATCAAAGTGTACCTCTCGACGCTCGCACCTTGACTTTTGTCAAAGCAAGTCTTCCTGCTCAAACTGGGCCCCTGGCCCCCGGGTTACAACAACAACAACGGCTCCCGCTTGAGACTTTCCTACAATTTAGCAAGGACCCCCGCTCCCGCCCGAGACTTCCTCGCATTTTATTCAGGAGTCGCGCTCTCGCTTGGGACTTCCTTACAACTTATTCAAGAATCGCTCTCCTGGCGCTCTGGAATCGCGCTCTCGCTGGAGACTTGCTTGCAACTTACTGAAGAATAGCGCCCTTGCGTTGGAATTTCCTGCAATTTGACCAAGCGCCGCGCTCCCGACACCCAGGCACCCAGGAGTCGCGCCCGTTGTGGCCCCATGTGCATGCCCCTCGTGGCCCCGCTGTCGCCATTTGTGTCCCCTCTCACTGTCCTACGTGGCCCAGTTGCTACCCTCAGTGGCCCCACAGTTGCCTTCTGTGGCCCCGCATTATCTGCACTTCGTGGCCCCCGCTCGTTCGCGCTCTTCGTGGCCCCATACGCATTCCCTTCGTGTCCCCGCTGTTGTCCTTCGTTGCCTACTTCGTGCGCTTCGTGGCCCTGC